GCAGGCAGCTATGGATGCAAAGATGGCTTCCTAGAAGTCCACAGGCACCTACGTTGACGCTGTCCCCCCTCCTGGGGCGAACATCGTCAGTGGCGTGTGGATTTTCAGGGTGAAGCGACCGCCGGGTTCTCCGCCTGTCTTCAAGGCGCGTTACGTAGCTCGTGGCTTCAGTTAGCGGCAGGGAGTTGACTACTTTCAGACCTTCTCTCCCACCCCGAAGATGACCACTCTTCGGGTACTGCTGCACGTCGCTGCCCACAGTGACTACGAGCTACACTCTCTTGACTTCAGCACTGCTTTCCTGCAGGGCAGCCTACACGAGGAGATCTGGCTGCGCCAACCTCTTGGCTTCACTGGGACTTTTCCTCCTGGCACCCACTGGAGCCTTCGGCGGCCGGTCTACGGTCTCCGCCAGGCACCGCGTGAGTGGCATGACACACTGAGGACTACACTTGCGGCTCTTGGGTTTGCTCCCTCCACTGCTGACCCGTCGTTGTTTCTACGCACCGACACTTCTCTGCCGCCGTTCTACATCCTCGTGTACGTCGACGACTTGGTCTTTGCCACTGCTGACACTGCTGGACTCGCCCACGTGAAGTCCGAGCTACAGAAGAGACACACGTGTACAGACCTGGGTGAACTGCGCAGCTACCTTGGCTTGCAGATCACCCGGGACAGAGCACGCCGCACCATCACCCTGACTCAGTCACACATGGTGCAGCAGGTCCTTCAGCGCTTCGGCTTCACGTACTCCTCGCCTCAGGCCACTCCTCTATCTACTCGCCACTCGCTCTCAGCTCTGCCTTCGGATGAGTCCGTAGAGTCGAGTGGCCCGTACCCAGAGCTTGTTGGCTGCCTCATGTACCTGATGACCTGCACACGACCTGACCTTGCATACCCTCTTAGCTTTCTCGCACGCTATGTTGCTCCTGGGAGACACCGACCAGAGCACATGGCTGCAGCGAAGAGGGTGTTGCGCTACTTGTTCAGTACGTCGGGCATGGGGCTAGTGCTTGGATGGCGGAGTCCAGTGGTCCTCATTGGTCACGCAGACGCTTCTTGGGCTGACGATTAGGCTACGCAGCGGTCGTCACAGGGTTACACCTTCAGCCTTGGTTCCGGCTCTGTTTCGTGGCGGGCTACTCGCTCGTCTTCTGTTCTCGGCTTCTGTTGTGAGGCTGAGATCTACGCAGGGGCCATGGCTGCTCAGGAGCTTCGCTGGCTCACCTACTTGCTGACCGACCTTGGACAGCCGACTCGTTCTCCTCCAGTCCTGTACGTAGACAACAAGGCTATGCTGGCCTTGTGTCGAGAGCAGAGACTGGAGCACAGAACAAAGCACATTGCTCTCCGCTACTTCCTTGCTCGTGAGCTACAGCAGCGTGGTCAGTTGCGACTTGCGTACGTGGCCTCTGAGGCCAACACTGCTGATGTCTTCACCAAGGCACTTCCGCCTTGTGTTCATCAGCGCTTCTGTACCCAGTTGGGTCTTGTGCCTGTCTTGCCTCACTTGCTCTCCTCTTAACCCTCTTTGTACTATTACATATATATATATTGCTGCTCTTGCTTGTCTAGCCTTATATATATATATATATGTACTCCTGCATGTGAACTGGCCTTGTGGCCTTGAACTTGTGCTCGGAATGTGTGGTGACGTTGTGATCCACCCTGAGCTTGCTTTGCTTTACTTTACTTGACTGGTCTTGTGACCCCTAGTTCTCCCCCACTTCGCCTATGGGGGTGTGTCAAACATTATATATGTTGTTGTAGTTATTTAGGCTAGAGTGGGTTAGCCTATAGGGGGTACACATTTCTAGGGTTTCCTATTTGTACTCGTTTCACTGTTAGTTTATCCATTCTTGTTCAACACTCCCCCACTTTGCCTATGGGGGTGTGTCAGAACATATAGCTTGTGCATATTGTGTAGGCTATAGTGGGGTAGCTCATAAGGGGTACAACCCAATTAGGGTTAGTACTTGTACTCAGTTCATTCATAATTCATTCATTCTCGTTTGAGTTTTCTCAGCGATCGACGAGGGGAAACGGGCGACGGGCGTCCGGCGACGGGGGGGGTGGGGGGTCCACGGGCGACGGGGCCTAAGGTAAGCGCGATATGGGCGGTCTGGGACGGGGCGGGACTAGGTGGGCCCATGATAGTCGAGTGATTTTTTCCTAAGGGGGAAAATCTCGTTAGGGTTAACCTAGCTCTATACCAAATCACACTGTAAAATTATCTAAAACAGAAAGTACAAACAAGATATATGCAAAACCTAACCCTAGTGCAAGTACAAAATGACACAAGGGAGAACACCTAAACTAGAACTACACAAACTATAGAATGATCGTTTGACAGTTTAGGATGCGGAGAGTCACTACACAACGGGAGTGGACTACGGTGGAGGGCACGGAGTTGTGCGAGTGATCGTAGCTTTGCACTAGCGTTCTTACTACTTGCTGTGTTCACACAGAAGTTTGACAAGAGTTTCCACTCAGGAAGTTGGAAGAACAATTTGCAACGAAAATTTAATAGTACAATGGAGGCATGCATAACAAAAGGACTAGAAAGGCATGCAATACCTAGCAAGGGCGAAATCTGCCAGCGCAACAGAAGAGCGGCTCGGAGCAGAGTGATCTGCCAACGTTGCACTACAGGCGGTCTGCCAGCACTGTAGTCGCAGGTCCTTATCTGCAGTCGCAGGTAACTATCTTCAGTCGCATGTAACTATATGCAGTCGCATGTTGTCTATCTGCGAAGATGTGCGCACTTACCAAGTAGGTGCAGGTTGACGGTTTCACAGTCAGACACATTGCGCAGGTGCCACATATAAAACGTGTCGTCGATTTCGCAAGGTGCGCACCGTCGACCACGTGATGTCATTCCGCAGGTAGAACTTCGCGAAAACCTCCTGGGCAAAAGTTTGCACGCCTCTGCCGAGTTTCGCACAACTCTGCGAACTCGGTCGATCAGCTCGACATCGCTCGGTCGAACAATCTTCGCCGAGCAGAGCTCCTCGATCCGAACTCTTCGACCAGAGTTCCTCGACCAGAGCTCTTCGACCAGAAGCGTCGCGCAGAGCTCGTCGACCAGATTCCGTCGAGCAGAGTTTGCTCGACCGCAACTTCCGTCAAACTGCAGTTTCAAACTTCTTCGACCAATCCGTCGAAAAACTTCCCGTCGGCGGCGAGATCGGCTGTGTCCAAGCGAGGGCGAGGTCTTTCTCTTCGACATAGGAAGGCTCCAGGAACGCAAGAAGCCGTAAAATGTTTAGAGGAAACGCGCAAAAAATGTATATGCCCTTATGCCCTAATATAACCTTATCAAATGGCTCTTTAATCACTATCTTGGAACTTTTTTTTCCCGAATCAGTGCTGCTGTTTGGCTCCCGCCTGCCTGGAGCCTTCCGAACGTCCCGAGCCGATGTAGTGCACCGGCAATTGCAACACGCCGTTAAGTTTGCGTGTGGGTGGGTTGTGTTTGTGTTCTGCAGTGACGAATAGCACAGCAAGTCAATGAGCCACGTGTCCAAGATCTGAGGCTAATCTGTGGTCACTTCGATTGCCATCTCTCACTTTCGACCTCTTATAAACAGCTACGTAAATGACACGCCACCTTCACCAGGGTGCAGTCAGATTTTGCTGCCTCTATTCAAATGGGTGCTTCCTAACATCTATCCTTTTGGGCAGAGGTTATTGCGTCATGACCTGCCCATATAACAGAATTTTCCAGACTTCTCTCGATAAGTGCAACTTTCCTCCTTTGAATGAGAGGCCTTTCTTTTCGAGAAGGCTGTAGAGCCGTTGGATCGATGACTGTTGGATTTTTTTTCGCTTCGGGAACATTCTCCAACGGGAAACTTCATTTTGAATCTGTGCTGAAATTGGTGGGGTCCAGGGGAAGTGCTCTGCGCTGCGGCACCAAATGTCGTCTGATCGTCGTCTGTTCGCGGCGCGATTTTTCAACTGCTCCTCTGCTCCCCTCCCCAGCTCATCCACCCATCCACCCCAGCCCATCTTCTCTCACAGCACCACCACTGCCCACCCACCTCACTTCGCCTTCCTCCCCGTTTTGGATTTGTGGGACTAGAGCAACAAATGCATTGCAGCATTTGAGGTTCATGCACAGGTGCGCATTTCCAACAAGACGCAAGTTGCAGCATCAGTCATTCATAACCTCTCCCTTCAATTTCAGGCCAGACACCGCATCTAGTTTCTGCCACAAGGGCGCTTTACGAGCGAAGACGTGTTGGGTGACTGAGACTCCCTTGACCCTTCATCTTCCATACGGCGGAACAACCTTTTCGACTCCATTCTAATTGGTTAGGAGAAGCAGACTGGAAGCCCAAGCAGCATCCAGCTGATTTCCGTGGCGACGCAGAAAATCGGATAAAAAGCTGTCAAATCCAGAGTCCCGCATTTCGCTTTCCGCACGCTTCCACCTCTCCCATCTGACACGTCACGCGAGTCCCGAAAGTAGTCCCACCCACCCAACGCAACGTGTGGTGTGCTGTGGACCCAGAGAACATCTCTCTCATCTCGTCGTTTCGAGACCGCGCTTCCTGCATTCGACCAGTCCGTGCACTCTGCTATATTCGTCATTCACCCGCTGCTCTTATCCACAGGTGTGAGACCATCGTCATTTCATTCCTCCTACCCATCTGCGAGCTTCGAAGTTCGTTTGACCGACATTCACAATCGTTCTACCGGCAGTGCCGCTCTGTCATCACCCACAAACCCCACATTTTCCCTGTCCACCCTATTACGCCTCCGCCTCAAACCTTCAAACTACCATTCTTCAACAGAGTTAGGAGGCCCGAGCCTGCCGGACCGACAGACCAGGCGCCATGCCGAGCCTGATCAGCATTCTCTCCTCCCAGAGCTCCTCGCGCTTCGCCCACGCTCTCAGCAAGGAGACTCGCGTGTCGACCGCTGAAAATGCGTCCGTCAAGGTTCCCGCGAATCTGGGCCTTTTATTTGGCCCAGACGCTCCTAGCACTTTCCATATGCCCGCTCCGTCGATCTCTCAGCAATACTTTCCTTCGTTCCAGCAGCAATTACAGCACCAGCTGTACCAACTGCCGCTAATGCCCGTCGCGCAGCAGTCGATCCCGCGTGGGAGCGATTCTCACGGCATGATTTCCGCAAATCCCGCCGACCGTTGCGGGCTGCATCTGATTCGTGGCGACGCGTTCGACCTCCGGCCGCAAGACCCGTCGACCACGGCCGTGTCATGCGCTGACGTGGCTGATGACGTGTCGATTTCATCCTCGATTCGCCTAGCGGATCTTATCTCCGAGTATTTTGAAGATTGCGATGAGGAGAGCGTCGCGCTCGACGGCTCGACGGCGCTGAGAACAGAGCGCAGCGCGCAGGCGCAGTTCCACGAATCCCGCGCAGGAACAGCAGCCTTTCTGCCCGCCACGAATCCCGCGCGCTCGAACCTGGGATCGCAGGGCGAGGAGGCGAATCAACGTCTGTCAGCAGATTATCTGGACATGCAGATGCAACTGACGGAGCAGAGTCAACTTCGCATGGTTCAGGTACGAGACCCGAAACCTTGAACCCGAAACCCTCATCCGTCGTCGGTGCTCGTCTGTGTCCTTTATCCCCTCTATAAGCATGTGAGTGGCCCACCTATCAAACCCCAACCTTCAGATTTTGTGTTTTAACGTTTCTTTCTTCCCCTTTCCTCCGCGTCGCGTGTCTCCTCCAGTCGCTCGCAGCCATGGATGGCCCCGTCGAAAGCGCCCTTCACAATGACGTTATCGCAGCGATGACCGACGCGCGCGCGTGCCAAGCGAACAACCCGCGCGGGAGCAGCCTGAACGCGGCGGTCGCAGGGCGACTGCGTGCGATGGGGTACGACGCAGCGGTGTGCACGACGCAGTGGGACACCTCGGCCACCATGCCCGAGGGTGAGTGTCGTATTTCCTGCTCCGAGTTTTTGCAGGGTTTTTTAGAATCGTCGATACGCAATTCCGGTGTGCGCCGCGCTTGATCTAATTTTTGCGCCAGCTTACGGTAGATTTTAGCATTCGCCGCCCGTCTCCTGTCCGTCTGTCATTCTCTGCAGGGTCATACGAGTACATAGACGTCCTCGTCTCCGCGGAACCGCTCGCGCGCCCACCCGCATCCGCCCGCGTCAGTTCCACCTCCCCTGCTCCAGCCTCCCCCTCGCCCACCTTCACCAGAACCGCCCCCCTGACCGCCGCCCCTCGCTCTTCCCTTCCCCCTTGCGCCGCCTCCTCCGTTTCCGCCGACGGCGCTTCCCCCTCCCCCGCTTCCGCCACCCCCGCTTCCCCCTCCCCCGCTTCCGCCATCCCCCAACGCTTCATCATCGACCTGGACTTCCGCGCGCAGTTCCAGATCGCACGGCCCACGCGCGAGTACGCGTGCGCGCTTGAATCCACGCCGTTGATCTTTGTGGGGCGGCGGGAGCGGCTGGCGCGGCTGGTGGAGGTGGTATCTGGCGCGATGCGGGGGGCTTTAAGGGCGCAGGGCATGCACATTCCGCCGTGGCGCAAGGGCGAGTATCTGCTCGCCAAGTGGATGGCTGGTGTCAGCCAGAGGGTTGCGTGTGAGGCGAAGGGGGAAGCGAAAGGGATGGCGAATGGGATGCAGGGTGAGGGGGAAGAGAGCAAGGGAGAGGTGGGTAAGCGGATGGAGGGCAAGGGCGAGTTTCTGCACGCCAAGTGGATGGCTGCTGGCCGCCAGAGGGTCGTGTGTGAGGCGAAGGGGATGGAGGAGAGGATGGAGGGTGAGGGGAAAGAGAGGAAGGGAGATGTGGGCAAGGGGAGTGTGGGCGAAAGGATGGAGGGTAAGGGGATGGAAGTCAAGGGGGTGGAGAATGGGGGAGTCGTGCAGGTGGATAAGGTTACAATCATAGCTGATGGAGCTCCATATGGTGGCGAGGATTCTCATGCTCCAGCCCTCTCTACTGTCACATCTGCTACTAGCACTGCTGATTCTGCTGTTGCTGTGAAGCCTGCCCCTGCTGTTAACCCCTTCGCTCCTGGTGCTCTTCTCCCTGCTGCCACCACTGCTCCAGTTGGAAGATTCCACACATCTTCCGCTCCAGGCATCACAGGTGCTTCCACCCACGGTTCGCACCACCACCAGCACCACCAGCACCAGCAGCAGCAGCAGCAGCAGCAGCAGCAGCAGCAGCAGCAGCACCACCACCACCAGAAGCAGCAATCACAGGTTCCCCATGCTGCGAATGCCATGGGGGATGCAGTGCTCTTTCAAGGCCGCCTCATTCCCACAAGGAGATTTGCTGCCCTGCACCAGTGTGCCCGAGCAGGGGGACGGTGAGGCCCCAGGCAAGCAGGCAAGCAGGCATGCATGCCCCATCGCCAGCAGCAGCAGGCAAGGGGCTGCCGTGCTGCAGGGTGTGAGCTTTGCTGCCCTGCACCAGTGCGCGCGAGCAGGGGGACGGTGACGCCCCAGGCAAGCAGGCATGCATGCCCCATCGCAAGGCTGGCCTCTCTCTCTGAGCAGCAGGCTGTGGGCGTTTAGCTGCACGCATACAGCAGTGGATGGGTTATGTTAACGATTTTCATTGCCAGGAGCGTCTCATTCCTGTCAGATGCTTTTTGCTGCCGTCGTTGTCCAGTTTGGGGTTGCAGTGGACTGGACAGGGGGCGGTGCGGCAAAGTCATGTGTGTGCACACATGATGCAATTTTGACGGCGAACCAGCCAGCCTGATGCCTTTCATCCAGGTTGCTGCAATTTTGTCTCCAGCTTCTGGTTAGCCCACCAGAGCTGCCAATTTTGACTCCAGAATTATCTCGGAGCGTATGTTACATCTACCAAGGTGTTTGTAAGCTTACAAGTTATGGATACATATTCTGGATTTTGAGCTCAGGGAGGGAGGGATGATGCCTGCTGCAACTAGAAGCAGCCACAATGCTAGCAGCCTATTGCACACACTCAGGTATTCCTTGGTGAAGGGAAGGGAGCAGCATGAAGTGGCTCTTCGTAAAGTGGTAAACTGGTACCTGAAGTAGGGTAGGTACTCGTCTAGCAACAGCGGCAGCAGCTGCTGCAATTGCAACAGCAACAGCGGTGGCTGAGGCGGCCCGGGGGTGGTGGCATCCACAGCAGCAGCGGTGGCAGCAGCTGCAATGTAAACAGCCAGTTTACCGGTAGGTATGGTAGTAACATGAAGCAGTAGAATGAGTGGTGCAAACCAAGTGCCATAGCATAGACACACTTCATCAATCCGTTATTGCTTTGCGTTACGATATGGTAAATTAATTCTCACTCATGTATGGAGGCTAGTTGGAATCCTACCAGGCCTGTAAAGAAAAACCCTTTTCCTTATGTAGGGCTGAAAAAGGCCCTTAGGATCTTTGCAGGGTTGAACTCTGGGTAGAGTTGGTGTAATAGTGGAAGCGTTAATAAGGGCGTGTTCCTACGGCCTCTTATCAAGCGAACCTCTTGTCAGATTCGCGTCGCACCGCACTGAAACGCGCATAATAACATTCGATCACATTGAATCGCATTGAACCGCAAAAGTCTGACAAGAGAACGCCTGATAAGGGGCTGTAGGAACACGCCCTAAAGTGTTGTGAACCACCTTGCGCTAGTATGTGAGAGCAAAGTAAGTTGATTAAAACAAGGAGATACAAGATTATATATGAATACAGGGAATATGAAAAGACACAGTTATAACTACTTTACTTTTGCTGTTGCGGTTCGATACAGTGACGACTCGGGCAACTGCTCTGTAACGAGTCAGTTGTGTGTCCTTGCTGTCGCGCTGTACTTGTCAGGTCAAAGGTCACTGACCTTTGACTTTCGCGTAACCTCCAGCGGTTACTTCAACCTCAGAGGGTTGACTCGCTGGTTCCTCGATATGCTTTGCTTCGCTTGTGCCTTAGTGTTTCGACACGACAGAGGCGCTTATGACCGATTGTTTCCAACACCTTACAGGGGTTTACTCAACCGCGTACAACCCCAACTTTCGGAAGTGCACGTTCGGCCACTTCGCTTGCTGCCGAAGCAACCTCGCGTCGCCTTCGGCCTTTCCTTTGCCCAACCTGCACCCAACCTCGTGTTCCCGAGGTTCCCGCCTAGCTAGGTTGGCCCACTATATTAGCGCGTGCCTTCATTGTATTGTCAGTTCATTGAGTCACATCTTCGTTATTCGTTATTCCGCGCACTCTCTTTTACAACTCATAACACCTGGTATCAGAGCTACTTTCCTAGTTCACCCCTCTTTTCGAGGGTAGTTTGGTGGCACGGGTGTGGTCGGTATAGTGGACTACACGACGGTTGGCTGCAAGGTTTGTTAATTCAATCCTGCCCGACTCCGATAGTTCGTGTTTTCCACTCACCGGAGGGCCACGGATACCCCTCTGCCCACCAGACGAAGCGTGCGACTCATGGACCAGGAGACATTGAACAAGATGCTGGCGCAAATGGCAGAGCTACAGGCAACAGTGCAGACTCTATCGGCAGAAGTGACAACACTACGAGGAGAAAACGCCGAGCTACGCCAGACGCGAGGTGAAGCGCGTCAGGAGTCGCCCGATGAAGAAGGCGAGGGCAACAGTCAAGCGGTGAGCAACCCGTTGGACGCGCTCACACGTGATTTCGAAGAAGAGGATAGGCAGCGAGCGGCAGCGACGCCAATTGCAGTAACAACGATCAAGATTAAACCCGTCAACCCGCCCCCGTTCAACCCTATGGACAAGACTACTACAGTGAAGGGGTGGCTTTTCGGCGTTGAAGTCTTCTTCACTGCAGAAGGCGTGAACGACGATGCCACGCGTATTAATTACGCGGTTTCTCTCTTTCGAGGCGCAGCGCTTGAGTGGTGGCGCCGAACCTTGGACACGGGGACAGGTGTGACACATGCGGCAGACAGGACTTCAACGACGGTTAATCAAGTGGCAGCACCGATATTCGGCGTGACCAAGATACGCACGTGGAAGGAGTGGGGCGCAGCCTTACGAGATCGATTCGAGCACATATACGGCTCGGAACAAGCTCGCATGAAGCTGCGTACCTGGTCGCAGTTGACATCTGTCCAAGACTACACAACAACGTTCATGGCCCTCACCGACCAAGTGGACGACATGTCGGAAGCGGAGCGGTTAGACAAGTACGTCAGCGGCCTTAAATACGAGATACAGTATCAGGTGTGCCGATGCCGCCCGACATCGTTCCTGGAAGCAGCACGGTTGGCAGAATCCACGGACGCGCTGATGCAGTATGCGAGGTCGAGTTTCCGGGAGGGAAATCGTTTTCGCGGCCAGACCCAACGGGCCACGATCAACGGAGTCCATGCACCAGACCGCCCCTACACAGGGTTGTGTTATAAGTGCGGGAAGCTGGGTCACAAATATGCAGACTGCCCCGAGAAAACGCCGGCGAAGAGGAACGACGGGAAAGAGCCGGGAAATGGGAAGAGTCAGTAACAGACGAGCCCCTTACTGACTGTGCTCTATCGCCCGTGTCAGAACATTATAGCTTACTTATTTGTGTAGGCTATAGTGGGGTATCCCATAGGGGGTACAACCCAATTAGGGTTTCATATTTGTACTCACTTAATTTATAGTTCATCCATTCTCGTTCTTTCTTTCACATGGAATCAGAGCAGGTTCCCTCCTAGGGACTGCTTCTAGGGCCCACCGAAGCGCGCCCCGAGGCGCGTTCTCCTTTTTTTTTTTCGCGACCCGTTGTGTCGCCCCCAGCGGCCCGTCGCGCCGCCCTTCCCTTAGCGGCCCCGCCGCCTTTCGATCGCGGCTCCGCCGCGCTTCCTTAGCGGCCCCACCGCCCTTCGATCGCGGCCCCGCCGCCCTTCGATCGCGGCTCCGCCGCCCTTCCTTAGCGGCCAGGCCGCCCTCTGCTAAGCGGCCCCGCCGCCCTTCGATCGCGGCCTCGCCGCCCTCTGCTAAGCGGCCCCGCCGCCCTTCGATCGCGGCCCCGCCGCCCTCTGCTAAGCGGCCCCGCCGCCCTCTGCTAAGCGGCCCCGCCGCCTTGCTCACGCGGCCCCGCCGCCCTCTGCTACGCGGCCTCGCCGCCGCGTCGCCCGTGCACCTGCCCGTGCACCCGCCCGTGCACCTACCCGTGCGGCCGCCATTGCAGCCGCCCGTGCGCAGCCTACGAGCCGCCCCAGCCGCCCGTGCAGCCGCCCGTGCATCGCTCGTGAGCCGCCCCAACCGCCCGTGCAGCCGCCCGCGAGCCGTCCTAGCCGCCCGTGCGGCCGCCCGCGAGACGCCCGCGCCGCCCGAGACGCCCGCGCCGCCCGAGCCGCCCGAGCCGCCCGCGAGACGCCTGTGCCGCCCGAGCCGCCCGAGCCGCCCGCGAGACGCCCGCGCCGCCCGAGCCGCCCGAGCCGCCCGAGCCGCCCGAGCCGCCCGAGCCGCCCGAGCCGCCCGTGCCGCCCGAGCCGCCCGAGGAGCCGATCTTCTGCTCCTGTGAGGCTCCTACTGCTCCTGGGCCGGCGCAGCTGCTGTGCTGCCGTGTTGCTGTATCGCTGTGCTACCCGACTCTTCCTGCCCGATGAGACTGTTAGCTGCTACAATGGCCACCCCCAGTGTCCTGACTTTTGGCGCTGAGGGTCGCGCCATTGACTTTGCAGTCTGGATTGAGGACCTGCAGCTGTACTTACTGTGCGCTGCGATCGATGAGGTTTCTCTCTTTGACTTTGTCTGTGGCGCTGTCCCTGCCCCTCCTGCTGATGCTGACCCCACTGTTCGCTCCAAGTGGGCCACACGCGATGCTGCTGCACGTCTTGCTGTGCATCGCCACCTCCCTTCCTCCGAGCGTGCACACTTTAGTCAGTGCAAGACCGCTCAGGCCTTGTACGACGCTGTAGTTGCGGGCTACTCCTCCCCTTCCACTGCTACACTGAGCCGCCTCATGCTACCGTACCTCTTCCCTGACCTTGCTGCCTTTCCCACAGTCACTGACCTCTTTACCCACCTTCGCGCTAGTGACACTCGCTACAGAGCTGCGCTTCCTGCTGCCTTCCTCGCCGAAAACCCCCCTCCCATGTACATCACCCTCTACTTTCTAGTCACCCGACTCCCTGAGTCCCTTCGTGCTGTTAGGGACCAGTTTCTCTCTGTCTGTCCCACCACCCTCACTGTCGACCTCCTTGAGAAGTCCCTGCTAGCGGCCGAGAAGAGCATAGTCGCTGTAGGGGCCTCTCGTGGTGACCCGCGCACCCCCATCTTTGAGGGGTGTTCTCCTTCCCCCCTGCTACCCTCTGTCGCCTCTGCTGCTGCGGCCGACCTCGTTGGTTTAGAGTCGGTCGGTGCGGCGTCTGCCCCCAGCGGTAGGCGCCGCTCTGGCAGGAGCAAGGGGGGCAAGGGAGCGGGTGGAGCTAGCGGGGGCGGTGGCGGAGGAGGTGGGGGCGGCGGGGGGAGTGGGGGTGGCGGTGGGGGTGGAGGTGGGAGTGGAGGTACTGGTGGCGGCGGTGGAGGCGGAGGTGGCGGCGGAGGTGGTGGCGGAGGAGGCAGTGGGAGCGGCGGGGGCGAGGGTGGCGGTGGCGGCGGTGGCG